CTGATTCAGTAGTTGCACTAGTGGGTATTTGCCCAAAGAATATGAGAACACTAATTTGAAAAGATATATGCACCCTTATGTCCGTTGCATCATTATTTACAATAGCCAAATTATGGAAGCAGTCTAAGTGTCCACTGATAGATGAATGGATAAAGAAGATGTAGTATACACACATGCACACACACACACACACACACACACACACACACACTGGAATATTATTCAGCCATAAAAAAGAATGAAATATTGCCATTTGCAACAGCGTGGATGGATTTAAAGTAATGCTAAATGAAATGAATTCAGAAAGGTAAATACCGTATGATTTCACCCACATGTAAAATTTAAGAACCAAAACAAATGAACAAAGGGGAAAAAAAGACAAACCAGAAAACAGACTCTTAACTATAGAGAACAGATGGTACCAGAGGAAAGGTGTATGGGAAGATGGGTAAAACAGGTGAAATGGATTAAGAATACACTTACCATGTTGAACACTGAGTAATACATATAATTGTTGAATCACTACAATGTACGCCTGAAACTAATGTAACACTGTATGTTAACTACACTGAAATTAAAATAAAATATGAAGAAATAAATATTTTGCCCACTTTATTTAGTTGGATTGTTTATTTCCTTATTATTGAGTTAGAGAATTCTTTATGTATGAATTCTTTGTATCTTCTGGATAAAAGTTCTTTATCAGATATGCGTTTTGTAAATATGTTTCTCATTATTTATTTTCATTATTTTAAAAGCTTTTTTTGAAGATCAGAAGTATTTAATTTTAATGAAGCTGATTATCGATATTTTTTCAAGTATTATGCTTTTGATGTTGCATCTAAGAAATCTTTGTGTAACTCAAGGTCACAAAGATTTTCCTCTACCTTCTTCAACATTTTTGTAGTTTTTTATTTCACTTTATGTTCTATGATCCATTTTTATTGAATTTTTATATGGTACAAAGCATGGATCAAGATTAATTTCTACATATGAAAGCACAATTGTTCCAGCACATACAGATATACATATACCTATTTATTTACCTACTATATCCACTTGCTCTACATGGAACTGCTTTTACACCTTTGTCAAAACTCAATTGATCACTTACATGTGTGTCTGTTCGTGGACCCTGTATTCTGTCCCACTGATCTACACATCTACACTTTCACCAATCTTTGGTCTGCTTTTTTAAAAAAACTTTCACTAGATATGTAAATTACTACCCCATTTTTGTGGTGGTCCTGAGCATGGACTAGGTGAGAACAGAAACAATTTTCTAAAGAATGTATTCTCTGAGCCTTAGCTCTCCATTACTATCAAACAAACAATGTCCCTCCAACATATAGGCTCTTTCTTTGGGATCTTTTTTCACTTTTTTATTCAGGTCCTTCCTATTGTTTTGGTCCAGAAAAGGCATTAGGATAAAGTTATCCATTTGAAGAGGAAAATAAAAAAGAAATTCTCTTAAGCAAGCTGACCATGGGTCCAAGAGATGCTCTACCATTTTTCTGTATGTCCAGTGACCCTCAACCACTGCCAGATACATAGACACACAGACACATACACATACATTGTTGGTTGATCACAAATTCCACTCCCCACCTTTATTCTGGTATTCTTCTTTCAAGTTTCTTTTCTATAAAATCCTTCTCATATTAAAAATTCCCTATGTCCAAGGCACCTGGGTGGCTCAGTCAATTGAGCATCCAACTTCGTGAAGTTCAGGTCATGATCTCACAGTTCATGAGTTCGAGCCCAGCATCGGGTTCTGTGCTGACAGCTTTGAGCCTGAAGTCCGCTTCAGATTCTGTGTCTCCCTCTCTCTCTGCCCCTCCCCTGCATATGCTCTGTCTCTCTCTCAAAAATAAATAAACATTAAAAAAATATTTTAAAAAATTCCTTATGTCCTATCTTTATTCACTAGCTCCATTCTTAGTTCACCTATCTTTTCTATTAATATACATAAAAGGAATAAAAGACACTGAAATTAAATATATAAGTATACATTAATTTTTCAGATTTGTTGTTAAGTGACATTGATGGAGAATAAAATATAATAAAAACTAGGGGCGCCTGGGTGGCGCAGTCGGTTGAGCTTCCGACTTCAGCCAGGTCACGATCTCGCGCTCCGTGAGTTCGAGCCCCGCGTCGGGCTCTGGGCTGATGGCTCAGAGCCTGGAG